TAGGATGAGACATTACCAGCCGTAGGATGTAAAATTTTGGTGTGGTGTTCGTTTCGACAAATCGCGGCCAATGTTGTTTCTTTCCTTCTTTTTTGACGTTGGTTCCTGCCTTCCTTGACTAGCAAGTGAAGTCGTCCCTTGTGAAAGGAGAACGCTAAGGATATACACCCAACAAGAGCAGAGAGACGCATGTTTGACACATGGATTGTGACGAATCGACCAAAGCTTGATCCAACGGCTGAATGATGTCTTACGGAACATTGAGAGCAACACTCACGTTCTGGCATCGTGCGTGACCAAGAATGGGATTCCGCCGCGGCCGAGCTGGACGCGCTTGACCTTGCCGAGCTTGTACTCGGCCTCCTCGGCCTGGATGCGGTGGACGGTGAAGCGGCCCTTGGTGTCGTAAATGAGGCGGAAGTTCTCGCCCGTCTTCTCGATGGTGATGACGTCCATGAAGCCGGCGGGGAAGGTGATGTCGGTGCGGACCTTGTGGTCGACCTTGATGAGGCGCTGCATCATGATGGAGCGGGTCTCGCGGTAGTTGAGGGCGTACTTGAGGCGGTTGCGCAGGAAGACGATCAGGGGCAGGCAGTCGCGCAGCTTGTGAGGACCGGCCGAGGGGCGCGGGGCGTAGGTTCCCGACAGCTTGTCGAGAAGCCAGTGGGAGGGCGCGCTAAGGCGCTTCTGGTGCTTCTTGCTGGAGGCATTGTCAGTTTTGGTTCACGGTTGGTGATGTTGTTTTTTCGATTCATCTTGTCGTTTCGAAAATTGCCATCCCTTCGCCGCTGTTGTTTTCGCAAACGACAGGAACGACGAGAAGCATTTCGAATTCGAATCGTCCAGGGTGAATTGAGTGCGAGAGCAACTTACAGTCCCTTGCCCATCTTGTCTGACTGCCGGTTAGTCTATGGGGGTATCTGGTCGGTGGGTGTGAAGTCGAAGTCAAAGATAATCTCAAATTCGCAGCCGGGGCGTGGAGTAGCAGGTCGCTCGATCCAAAAATTCTGTGAGGCTAGGTTTTTCGAACCCTACGCTACGAAAGTGGGGGCCTTAGATAATACAGTCAAGCGAGGCGGGTGGTCTGTGCTGTACTTTGACCAGTGCCGCTCGATTTCAACCTGCTTGTGGGGCAGTTGTTACCGTCCCGCCGCCGTCCGTCTACCTAATTATGGAGGGCCGAGCCAATGGCTGCTTCAAAGGGGACGGACCGAATCATGTCGGCGAATATGGTTCCAACGAAGACATCACAGGATACTAGCGTGCGCTCAAGCTGCTGCATTCTGATACATCCATCTAGCGACTGATGCTTTCTAGCACACAGATTCACACACTCTATCCGACAGTCCTGGAAGCCCGAGGCCGTACTAGGCTTCTCGGGTCTCCTCGTTCTTTTGCAGAAACGACTGTAATCCCTCTAACCGTGTCCATTCCATTTTCCCATCCTTGACCGTGAGGTATCTGATTATGCGCCGAATCTCCATATCGCTATAACGGAAAGTCCAGTTTGGTATAAGCACCCGTTCAGAAATGACCGTAGAGGCAGCAGAGCGCCTCGTTCCCCTACTCCACGCAAACAAATAATACGCAGCACTTTTAATATCTAAATCAACGAGGCCCGGCAAACACGGGCCTCTTGGCTCTGAAGAGCATCGGATGAGTTCGCAAGGCATAGGAGCCTTGCCGTATGTTATGTATGGAGAGCTGCTGAAGGGCAGTGAAGCGACGTGGGCGTTCGGCCTCGAGATACGTGTTATCGGTTCCTTCAACAAAAGGGTAGATCAAGGTGACATGGGCTCGGGTGCCATCTCGGCGGCATACTGCCTCATGGGCAAGTTGTCGACCTGAGAGTCGTCCAATAGCAGGCGGGAGATGTCCATTTCACCCGCGCTGCCCATGAAAGCCGCGGTTGTCGTTTCGCCAAAGTCGAAGGCCTGTTGTACCGCCGGCGATTCTCCATTGTCGAGCATCGATAGAGGCCATCTGGGCAGATCCTCCTTCGAATTGGTCCTATTCAAGGCCGCTTCCATTGGAGGCGGTCTGTTGGGCTGAAAGGTGTTGCTGATGCTCATGCTGACCGTGGGCTCCAGCGTATCACCACCCCTGCCGTCTTTGATTTGGAACAGTCCCTTTTCAATCTTTTGGTATACACTTGGGTACTTATTCCGCACTCTATCCCGAAGGTCCGTCGGCTGTCGTCCTGACAGACTGAAGCGAGAATCCCGCTGGATCTTGGTCCATGCGGGTCCGTACTTGTCCAGACCCTCTAGTATTTGTTTATCGTCTTGGTCGGTGAATGGCCGTCGTTCCCGTCGATGAGACTTCTTGAAAGGGCCATGGATTCCCAGCTCAGCCAAGTCCTCGAGCTTCTTGCGGTGCGCCCGGCTTTTCTTCGCCTTGGGGATGCCGTCCGCGTCGAGCAAAGCGGCCTGTGCCTGTGATTGCTCGGCGACAACAGGCTCTTCCTGCGCGATAAGGATGTTCTCAGAGTGCAGGCCAGTCTTGGCCTTTGCCTTGGGCTCAGTTGGAGTCGTAGGCATTGCAGCCGTCGCAATCTTGGTGTCGCTGTTTGTCCGTCGAAGCTCGTTCGGGCAGCACGTGCGGAACCGATCTTTCAAGTCTCCCGCAGTTCGGTCGTTGAAGTTGAAGTCCGGATCCGCGAGTATATCAGTCCACTTGCCTACGCCGTGTCGATTGACGCCTAGAAGCAAGTGGTTTGTCTCTGCCTCGGACCATTTGCGTCTGGGCTTCATAGCCTTCTTCCTCGTCTTACCACTGCCGGCTTTCGAGGCCTTTGTAGGAGTCGGTTCAGGCTCCGGGGGCTTCTCGGTTTCTTTCTCTTCGGTGACGGGCGCGTAATCTCGTAGGGGCTTGAGCTGGTTGCTCTCGGGTTCGTTAAAGTCGTTGGAGGCAATTGGAGGAAACAGAGCAGCGTCTGGTGGAGGTTCATGAAGGCCATTGATGATGGGCGGCATAGCCGGCATGACCTGAGGTTGGATGGGCTTTTGCTTCTTCACCGGTTGAGGCAGCTGAACGAAGTCGTCCTTAGTGGCGATGTTCCGGTGTCTCTTCTTGTTGGATGTGTCATCTTTGCTATTGTCGGGTACTTCGTCGAGGATCTTGCTGAGGGAAAAGGATGAGTCTGTCGTGTCTCGATCTTCACCGACGAGCAGCCTGAGCTGCATATATGCGGTGCTGCTAACAGTCCCCCCTCGATCGGTTGCTCCATCGTCTTCCTTTCTCAAATCTCTCGCGGCGAAGGCATCGTCGGGCCCTCTCGAAGTTGCGAGCGGGGCTCCATGGCTCGTGGCGAGAGGCGCCTTGGGCTTATCTTCACGGTGGGAGGTATCGGGCTCGAGGGGGAACGGTCGCTCGGAGGGACGAGAGTATGCCAGGCGGAGCGGCGGCAGATCAGCGCGAGCAAGCTGAGGAGTAGTCGAATCGTTGAGCAGGTGGATGAGGCGTGGCTCGATGAAGGCCATCGTGGGCGAAAGGAGTCGGAGTGGGCATTTGGTTAAAGATTGATGTAGGAAACAACACTGGCGAAGAGAAGAGGGAAAGGCAGAGCGCGGCGGTGGGGACGGAAAGAGGAGGACCAGCAGTCAGGGTGTGTGATGGCAATGATGGCAGACGGGGCAAGATGGTGAGAATGGTCGCGAGAGCAGACGCGGAGTGGTGGGATGGAATTCGAGGCCTTGCCTTCTCTTTGCCTTGCACGGCTCGACTTTTGACTGGCCAAGGCGATGGCGGAGTAAGGTACCTAGGTAAGGTCCTAAAAAAACGCCTGCAGCATTCCACGTCCGTCTGGCAGCAGTACGGACGGACGAGCAGAGCTAGCTCACACTCTGCTGCAGGGCACTCCCAGAGACATTGCAAAGTAGGTGCAGCGGTAGACCTCCACTTCCCAGAGAGGAGCAAGGCACCGAGTCCACCCACTCAGTGTCGCCGGACGTGAGGTCCCACGTGAAGATTCTCCACCAGAGCAACGGCGAACCAGGCTAGCGTGGTTGGAAACACGGTATTTCCTGCTACGGCAGGGAACAAAACCGGGTGCGCTGAACAACTTTGATACTTTTGGTCTATCATTGGACTGTCACAGGCCACCATAGGCACTTGTACCTTGCCTCACTTCATTAAATAGATAGCCCGGCAGGGCACCTTGTAGGCACCCAATCCTTAGGTACTGAGGTGCTTACCTATGGTAGACGCATCGCATGCCCAACACCCGCAGACAAGTCAACGCGTTCGACTTTTGACTGCGGACTGCAGCCTCTCATCTCCAGGCCTGTTGCCTCGAGGTTGGCCGAAGAAACCAATCCCAATGGCTTCAATACGACTCCAAGCTGCCCTAAGCTCCTTGGGCAGTGAGCACTAGCCCGAGATGTGAGTGAGGTGCCTCAAGGCAAGGTAGCATCAGGCGGGTGGTGAGTGGTAGGTGCCCAAGGTAAGGCGATGGAAGCAAGGGACCTCATGCTGGCGCTGGTGGTGGTGGTGGTGGTGGTGGCGTCCTGACACTCGTCAATGAGCAGAACGAACACTGACTGGATGCTTCCCCGTGCACACCTTTTCCCACGCACGCAACCGCAACCCACCTCCTCAGGGCAAGGTTCGCTGCCTCAGCACTCGGACACGGAGGAGCTAAGGGTCCCAAGGGGACGCCGGAGGCACGGGAAACACCAGACCGGTCCCCTGTCTCCGTTGTTTCCGCCTCCCCGCTCCACCTTCGCCTCTGAGTGTCTCTCTCCGACGTGCCCTTCAGCCAGCCGTCGAACACCAACAGCTCGATTCTCAACCGCCTCGGCGTACCTATGAACGAACCTCTGACAACATCTCTACCCAATCAATTGACTTGCCTTCTCTCCCTCCAATCCCGTTTCCCTTCCCTGCCCTAACCGGAACTTTCGATTCCTGTCTGCATCTGCACCCAAAACCACCGGCCTCCCATCGTTCGAGTTGCACCGCAGCAGCGTCAGCCCCGGGTCCTCGTTTGAGCCACCAACATGGCCGCCGCACTCCCGACCTTCCCCAGACTGGTCTTCACCGTCTTCGAACCCATCTCGCTGTGCGTACGATCCTTCTCGACAAGTTGAGGCGCCCCATCAGCTGATGTGAATGTCTCAAGCGCCGCCGGCTTCCTTGGAGCCGTCATTGACCCGGATTGGTTCATATCCGAGCAGATTGCTTCGGTCGCGACCACCAGTCCGCCAACCCCGGCCACAGATCACAGCCGCCTCGTCGCCCTACAGCTGGGCAACATCTATCTTCTCATGGCCATGGTCGGCTTGGCTGTCCTCAATTCCACCAGCGAGCTGAAGGTGGTGCGCAGTTATCTCGTCGCTCTGTGGATAGCCGATCTCGGCCACATCTACGTGTGCTATCATGTTCTGGGCCTGCAGAGATTCATCGACGTTGCAAGTTGGAATTCTATGACTTGGGGCAACGTGGGAGTGACGGTAAGACCCTGAATAGCCTCGGCCGGCGAACGTGCAGCGCTAACAAGTGTAGGCATTCCTGTGTCTGACCCGCTCGGCCTATCTCATGGGGTGGTTCGGGGCAGATGTAGAGGACACCAACAGCTCATCAAAAAAGCGGGAATGAGATTCTCGCGCACTTTGGGCGTTCGCCGATATTCAAATGATCTGTAGGTTGTCTCAGTCTCTACTGAGAGCTGGTCATCCGGGCCAATGTCCCCTACGGAGGCGACGTTACCTGTCGATCCAGCTGATCCTCTGTCTTTTGTCTAATCCTGATACTCGCCTTTGTGAAACCTTGGGATAGGAATCAGAGATTACTCAGGTGGCGAGAAGGGAAATCCCAGGCTGGTTGCTTGCATTGACACCGGCTCTTTTCCAGTTCACATAGTCCTTCCAATGGCTGTATATCTGGAAGCTGCGAGTGTATCAATCAGAGTTCAAGCCAGGTGCGCCGAGTGCTGTGTACCTGGATGGCACCCTGAGGTGCCATTCAGAACCTACAAGGCACTTGCAGAAGGGACGAGGGTCAATTAGCCCAACTCCGTACCCCGCGCAAGATGAAGTCGATCTTAGCTTTGAGTGCATCAATCCCGTTTTTGAAAAGGAAATAAAGTCATGAAGTGCGATTCCATCCAATCAATCTTTGTTAAGCTCAAAGCAACATGCAAAGGTTGGAGGCAGTGGTTCAACTCTAATGAATGCACCTCACACCTCGCTCTGAATTAAAAGTGGATACCTAAGGCAGTTGCACCATTCCTGGGCACCACCTCTCCATTGGACGGGCGTTCGAACGCGGGAGGCGCCTTACTCGCCAGGGTTAGGGTTAAGCGAATGAGAGTTTGTTTACACTACACCACCACCTCTTCACCCCCTCGAATAACGCGTTCTCTTCACGATCTTTCAAAAACGGGCCGCTGCTCATCGTGAAATGGTGCTGACGAGGGCAAATCGCGGTGCCAGCGACCAGCCGGCCGAGTCTGGCCGGTCTGCACGCCTGGCGCGTCGCCGCGGGGGCTCCAACGATAACATGGAACGCGAGTTGCCGGCCAGGACCAGGGCCAAGGGCAAACAAGTCGCGGTGCCGTCGAGCGATCCAGGCGATGACGTAGAAGACGAAGAGGAAGATGAAGGGGCAGGGTCAGAGGAGGAGGAAATCGCCAAGGGCGAATCGATTGCACGGTTCAATGCGCCGAGAGGAAACCTCGTCAAGTCCATCAGCCCGCCGCCTCAGAGCGAAAGTGGTGGGTCACATTCATAATCGAGCAAAACTCCTGGATGAACGCTGACGATACAAAAGACATTGCTTCGATCATTGGTTCTCAGAGCGTGTCCGGTGTCCAGAGATTCGCCAACCCTTACGGCGCAACAGCACAGTACACACGTCACTCAAGTGTGTTATCCCTGCAATCCGCACTCATCCTTCACAGCGCAGTGCTCATGCAATCCAGGCGTCCCTAGGCCGTTCGGCTCGTCAGCGCCTCTATTCGGTCGTGGAGGTATTTCAATCATCTGCCCTTGTCATGTCAACATGTTGACCAGAAACCGCAGGTCTACCAGGAAGCCCGGTAAGGGAGGATGACGAGGAAGACGCGCCAGACGAAGGTCGCGGGACCCAAGGGAGCAACCACAACACCAGCCGCGACGAGACAGCGGAACTTCGAGAAAATGCCCTCGACCCCCTGTGGAGCACCACGAACGACCTCGCCAAGTACCTCCTCGAACCAAAGCCGGACAAGAAGACCTGGAACCAGCTGCTTAAGATCCAGCGCCAGAACTGGGCCAGCATGCAGACTCTCTTCACTAACAGGGACAACGAGTTCCTCATCGACCTCCCCGACGTCCTGTCCGCGTTGCCCGAGAAGCTCCAGTCGCGCGGACGGGTCATCCTCGCCGCGACGAACGCGACTTCCCTCCAGAACGAGCTCATCAAGACCGTCCAGGGCACCGGCGACCTGCTCGACATCTGCGCCCGCGTCTTCGAACGGCTTGACCAGGACTTCCCCGCCCCCTTCCTCATCTCCATCCCCGACGATCCCTATGAGCTCATCACCAACGAAGTGATCGAGCTGACTCTCGACATCCGTGTCCAGAAGTTCATCGCCCAGCTGAGAGACCTCACCGATCACCCCGTCAGTCCCGCCAACATTGCATCTGACCTCTTCTGCGCGGTCGACGAAGGCGTGGACGGCGAGGAAGCGCTCCGTCACGGGCCATACCAGCCCGTCTGCGGCGGTGTCGAATCCCCCTTGGTATCGCAGCGTGCTAGAAGCATCGCGCAGCTGATCGAGGAGAAGACGGTTGTGGAGGCAATCCACATGCTGGAGGACGCGTTCCCCTTCATGACCGAGGACGGGACCGGCCTCTCCGTCGACCTGATGCAATGGACTGCCGACATCATCGGACAGGCACAGGATTTCCTGCGGGAGCCGGCAATCGGGTCAACCATCAGATCCTCCTCTCCTTCCGAATCCCTCGCCTCATCCTCCCAGCAGGAATTCGTCCGCAAGGACGTGTATGTTCCTCCCCTCCTCCACTTGCGATTATCCCACCCGCTAACATTCAAAAGTCACGAGAACATCATGTCGAAAACAGTCGTCCAGCATTTGGCCATGCTCCGCCGCCAAGCACCCCAATCCACCGCGTCAACGTCAGCCCCTCAACCTCCACCGTCCCGCCAACCACCCCCATCCAGCCCCGACGACCTATCCGCCGACGGAGACGACATCCTCGCCATAGCCCGGGGCAATCCGCCCCCCTCTTCCGCCGCCGCCGCCGGGCCAAGCACCTCCGCCCCGCGCTCCAGCGGCTTCACCCCCGTGAACGGCACCAAACGCCCCTCGGAAACCCAAGACCCCGAAGACCCCTTCGAGAACGACACCCGCTCCCCAGATCCCTCCCGCAGAGCCCAGCTCGACCTCGACAGACAAAACATGCCCCCGCCAGCCTCCCGTCCCCAGAAACGCCAACGCCTCCCCTCACACCCGCAACCGCAACCCTCATCCTCCGCCTCCTCCTCCCGTCCAACCCCCTCCCCCAGCACCAACCCAGCTCCCGCCCCTCCCTCCCCGAACGGAAGCACCAGCAGCGGCGCCCCTCCCCCGTCCTCCGCGGCCTCCACCTCTCTACTCAGCGGCGAAATGTCCTTCTCCCAGATCCGCGAATCGAACCGTCTGCCGCCCTCCCGCGCCGCCGGCGCCCCGCAGCGCCAGCCCTGGTCCGACGCCGACACCCGCCGCCTCATCCGCCTCATCGAGGTGCACGAGTGCAAATGGGCCGTCATCGCCCGGCGCCAGGACCCCGACTACCGCCGCGGCAGGCAGCCCGACCCCGGCCCCGAGGACACGGAGGACTGCGTCTTCGAGATCCGGCGCGACCAGCAGGCCATCCGCGACAAGGCGAGGAACCTCAAGGTCGACCTGCTAAAGTACGTTGTCTTTATCCTCCCGCCCCTTTGCTCCATCCCGACTTCAACTCCTATTACTCAAGGCATGCTAACACGGCAAACACAACAGGGCCGATTTTGCATTATACCCGGGCTTCAACGGCATCGCCCTCGGCAAAAAGGAGCGGGCCGCGCTCATTGCGCGCGGCAAGAACCCTGACCGGCGGGAGGAGGACACCACGCCTGACGGTGTGGTTCACAACACGACATTTATTCCTGACGAGTAGCGTAGTCGGTGTTGTATGTGCGCATGCATTGGTGATTAGATCATGTTAGCAGGGCTGGAACAGGGTCAAAACTACCAAAATATGCATCGTGTTTTTTTTTTTTTTTTTTTCAGTCGCGTGTGTTGATGGCGTTGAGGTGAGTGGTGGTATTGGATCATCAGGCGCGTGTCGCGCACAAACAATACACTTCATCACTTGTTCACGAGGCTGCCATATTGTGACAAATAAAAAATTCCGTGAACAGAAATCCGGTCCCTATCAAGACTGCCCTAAGAATATCGACCGACCTCTCTAGGGTGAACGGGGCCCATCACGTCTGCGTCTCGCCGTCCCGGTCATCGCAGGCATTTGCTCCATCTCCACACCAAAAAACCAATCTGACTGATTACAACCACCACCACCTTGGTTCAGTCTACTACCCCTTCACCGGTCTTGAAAGTCGTAAAAGAAGCGAAGTCGAAAGAAAAGTTGGGTAGAAACTAGACATCATCGCACGCCTTTAGGGCGGCGGCGTAAAGGTATTTTTCGGTGCCAAACGTACAAAAAACCGGATCTCGTTCCTCTATGTGGTGCAGCAACAAAAGCCCAAGAGATGACCGTTTCCCATACCAAAGACCAGAGAGCTAACAGGTAGCGCGCTTGTACGTTGATTTGGCTGAACGGAATCGCAGTGAAAGGAGTCGGTGGATATCGAGGTGGTGTCGTCATGTGAGTCCAGGGCTGGAATGCCGTCGTGATGCCATGGTTTCGGGGGCCTTCCAACCAGAGAAGTTCGTAAGAGTATGTGACAGAGGAAAGACAGGACAAAGGGGGTATGCTGCGCGGTGCTCTCAAATCTCAACAAGTGTAGAAAATATGTGGTCCCAGCCATGAGCAGCTGGAATACTGAAGTAAAGGGTATCGGAAGTTGAAGCGGCGTAGCGGATTTTACGTTGCTCTTGTAAAGCAGTCTATCGTCGACGAGAGTTGGGGCTGTTCTTGAGCCGAGATGTACGCCAACCCTCGTACCATTGCTCCCTGCTGGCCTCACGGAGCTCGGCTCTCCATTCACTGAAGACGGCATCCTTGAGTCTCGTAAAGTCGCAGTGCTCCTCATTGTAGGGGTCCGCAAAGCCCCAGGGGAATTGACGCCCCTTAACCTCGGGCTCGTATAAGTCGGGGCTGATGATGGAAAGAGGGAGGAAAGGAATCTCGTCCTCCTTCGAATCTTGCTTCGCCTTGTGCTGGCGGATAGACGATCCCGACAGTCGTTTCGATGAGGGAGAAGACGGTGCCTCGCCATCACCGCCCTGGATCGGAAGGTCCTCGTCGCCGTTGTTGCTGTGCTCGTAGCCATCCTCGCCCTCGTCTTCCTCGTCAATCTTAGTAGAGTCGTCATCCTCATCCAGGCCGAGGGGTTCGAGGGGGTCCATTCCAGCCTTCTTGATCGTGTCCCAGACCGTCTTCTTGAGGACATTCATGTGCTTGGTAGTGATGGTATCGGCCTTGGAAATGACGGGAATGACAGTCGTCTTGCCCTGGAGGGTGCGGAGAACTTGGAGGTCGAGGTCCTCATCCAGGCCACCGGTGATGTTCGCCGGCGGCGCGTACTTGCCGTTGTGGCCATTTGGCACAGTCTTCACAGCAGCAAGATTGCGGTCCAGACGAGCTGGGTCGAGAACCATGAAGACAGCATGAATGTGGGTATCCTGTACACCAGGCGATCGAATGACCTTCATCTCCTCGGTAAAAGTCTCTTCGAACTTGCTCTCCAGGAATGCTGACATCTCTCTAAGCTGAAGGTCAACCACATTCTTTTCGAGACCTTCCGAGTCCCAGATTGTCAGGCCAACACGTTCGCCGTCGATTTCACTCTCAAGGTAGTGGGGGATGTAATTGCCCGAAGCGGCAGCCCTGGGAGTCGAGTCTTCCTCGGTCTCGGTTCGACGGGATCGTTTCTTGGGCGGCAGAGCCAGAGCAGTCTTCAGGAACTCAAGGAATGAAGTCTTGCCAGCGCCGCGAGTGCCAATGACGAGAATGCTAGAAGAGAAGGTTAGCTTCCGGTGTCTTCAGATCGAGGGAGGATTGTCTCAGATCGGGTGAGGCTTACTTGAAGGGTGTGGGATCCTTTCTTCTCCGAACCCTTCTAGGGCTGTTGACAGTGCTGACGGCGCTGCTGGCGTAACTGTAGCGACCGCGGTGCGTCATACTCTCGGTACGAGCGTAAGGATCGTAGGCGGGGTTGCTCGTGGGCACAGGTGGTACGGGAGGAACATACCCTCCCGCGCTGAAGCCGGGATCCATCGAAGGACGAGTGGAATAGGCGGTGCCAATGGTATGGTCAGACATGATCGAGGCTTCGTCGGCACGAAGGTCTGAGGGGATGGAGTTGGAGAGCTGGTCATTGCCCTTGTAGAACTCGGGCAGCTTGGGTGGGATTTTGGAGATGGCAGCTTGACGCTGGCGTTCGAGTTCGCGTTCCTGCTGCTCCCTGAGGGCTTGGGCCTTCTTACCGCCCTTCCCCAGGTCGCCGGACTTGGAGCGTCTGAGAAGCATACCGAGACTACTGCGACGGGGCTGTTGGCTCATTGGTATCCAGGGTGCTCAGCATAAAATATTTGTTTCAGCGTCGGGAGCCGCAAACGGAGTGGGCGACTGGCATGCGACTAAACACTACCAGCAGCACTTTTTGTCGCGCTTGATCGTTCGATTGCGTGGAGGCGGCGAATGTGGACCGCTCGTACCAACGGGCGTTGAAAAGCGCCGAACTTCGAGTCGTGTGATTTGGTAAATAGCAATATGTCGCCGAGGAGAAAATCCAGGTCGACGTCAGTCACCAAACTCGTGGTTTGGTTTCGTTGGGGGGTTGTAGGTGAAGGGGGAAAGCAATCGGGGCTCCCCTGGAAAGGGTGGAAAGGGGTCAATGACCGAAGAGAATGGGACGATGTGTGGGAAAAGAGCTGATGAAATCAGGTTAGCTACCAATACCCGGATAGAAGGCAATTGCTTGACGCCCAAACACTGCGAACGCTCTTCCTCGACCAACCGCAGACAGCAGCGCAGCGGGAACAGCAACAGCGTGTCGAGTCGAGCAAGTGTCTCGCCTGGCGGCGCCTGCGAAAAGGTGACAGGGAAATGGCAGCCGGCAGGAGTTTGGGAGACAGCGCGAAAGCAATGCCTCTGCCACTGCTCTGGTCGGGTCAGGTCAGACCAGAGACAGAAACAGAGACACAGGCGGGAACCAATGCCCGGGCCGGCTCCGAGAAGGAATTCTGGGGACGTATGCGTTCCCCAGTAGTGCTCCTGCCGTGGTTGGCCGCGATTGACGGCAGAGGTCGAGGCAGGAGATCTGCCGCCTGCAGAGGGGTCGCGGGACGCAGGTCGCAAGTCGCAAGGAGGGGCGGACAAGCAGCGAATAGGGGCAGGAAGCGGGAAGTGATGACGATGGGATGGGATTGGCGCCGTTATAAGGACTTACCAGTAGGATGCCGAGCTTCAGAGCTGGAGCTTAGGCAGTTTGAAAGCAAATGGTGCTATTCTCGTGGAATTGGCGGCGGCAGAAGAAGCAAGCGTCGGCTCCTGCGATTAAGGTGGATGTGCAATGCTGGAATGGCAATGGCGGGGAGCGCGGTGCGGTGCAGAGCAGAGACAGACGACTGGCCAAACGTCGGACGGATGGTCGAACGGAGCGAGGGTTTCCAGTCGCGCGGCGATGGCAGGAGATCGGACGAAGAGGCGTGGCCGCGCGTGGAGAGGAGGGTCGGAGTCCGTGACCCGCGTGTGTGAGTCTGGTCTGCGGTCTACGGAGCAGACAGACAGGACGAATGGAACGAGGGGGCCGCAGGATTCTGAGACCTGGCCGAGAGCTTCCAATTCCAAGAGACCAAAAAAAAGGGTCGAGAGTGAGAGGGATCCGTGGAGGGGATGAGGCGTAATTAAGAGATGGGAATTGCGAAGAACGTGGACCCGGCGGGACGAGACGAGAAGCAGGCGAGGCGGGTCGAATGCAGCTGGTGAGGTCGTGGTATCCGTACGTAGGGTGAAGGCAGGCCAGGTACCAAGGTGAGGTAAGGTAAGGTACGGATGGGTAGGTATGGACCTTACGTATGGATGAGGTGGGCACACAAGTGCAAGCGTTAGCGAGAGTTAAGGCAGGTTGGTAGCGTGTTGGTAGGCCCGGTTCGAGAGTACCTAGGGTAAGCCAGTCCAGTCCGGTGCAGGTACAGGTGTGCAGGGAGTAAAGGTTGGCGTGGGTTGTGAAATGTGAAGAGCGAGCGAGCAGCCTGGAGCAAGAATGGCGTCGAAAAGAGCAAGCAGGCGCAGTGTCTAAAGTGAGTGAGTGAGTGAGGGTGAGGGTGAGGGTGAGGGCGGGATGGCCAGTGCAGATGCGCGCAGATGGAGAATTGGGGGGGTGTTCGAGGAGAGACTGAGAGAGCAAGTGGAGGGACCCGCGACGAGACGAGTGTAATTATGCCAGTGGAGGAGCAGGTGCGATGGATGGGGACAGGATGAGGTCAGTGCAGGGCGCTGCGCGATGCGATTGCAGACCAATGAAATTGCCGACTTGGGTTTGCGCCGACAGCAGCAGCAATGCGATGCTTCTTGCTCTGTTTTTGAGAGATGTCAAGGTGTGCACTGAGTTGGAACAGCTGTAAAGCAAAACAGGGCAACAGGCGCAAAAAGAGCAACAGGAGCAAGAAAGACGACACAAGCAGAGTCAGGCAGACAGAGAGAACCACCGCGAGTGCGACGCGACAGACGAGAACAGGACCTGCCCGTTCCCAGAAGACGAAGCTCCTGCTCCATCCAGCATGTCAGGCGTCCCCCATCGTCCCTCGTCCCTCCTCGTCCCCTTCACCCCATGCTGGATCCAATGTCCCGTCCAATTTGAGAATCGAGAGGGGCTTCGCTGATGGACGATGGACACTGGACAGCACCAACCGGCCAAGCAGGGTGCGCACTGAAGTCGGGCTGCCATTCTTGTCATGTGATTGGTTGGCCGACGGGTAGCGCAACACCCT